CAAAAATAGTTGTCCGGGTTGGGGTGAGAAACGGGTCAGTCGCGTTTGTTTCTTTGCCTTGGTGCGGTTGTGAAAAAAGGAAGCTCTCCGCAAGACGTGCCCCAAAACGAAGTCATCTCGGATTCCGTCCGATCGTCAAGATATGACTGTCGTCGACTGTGATTGTGTTATTTGAGATCTTTCTCAAATAAATTCTTTTCGGATAACGCTGCATCGTGTGGTACGTACGATATATTGTTCGAATGTTAACACTTCCTCAATTGTATGTCCGTGTCCTGTCCATCGGTAAACACGTTATTTGTGGGCGTGAAAAATGCATGCCTTTCGGCCCTCTTCTGTAGTAATTTATTTTTGACAGTAAAGCGCTTTGTCGTTTCACAAGCGGCGAATCCCGCGGTGCCGTCAAAACTCATCGTAAGAAAAAAAACAAAAAAACTAGAACTATACATTCCAGTCGCATTCGTTCTGTCGCGCGCGTACCCCCAAAAAATAGTTTACAGTTTTGTTTTTTGCTTTTTTTGTTTTTTAAAATGTGGTACAATGCTTTCTCAATGTCCTCGGGAAAATACATGTACCATGAAACACAAAATATAGCTGGAAAAGACGAGAATTTCGCCGCCAGCAGTGTTTGAAACTGCGCCTACGCAGGCTGCGCCTATTGAAATCACAGTCCCCTCAGTTAGGGTTAGGAGGGACGCCGGTGAGAGTCTAGCCTCAAACTCAGTGACTGGGCTCGAAAACGGTTTGTTGCCCCTGGGGTCGAGTGTTTTTTGGAAAGGTGTATAGAGGGACCTTAAGTGTAACAAGTATGTAGCGCCCCCTCCAGCCCGCCCGTCTGCGGCCGCCTGGCTCGGCAGGCAACATTGATCACCGCGCCGAATAAACCAGTGTTGTCAGATGTAGGGACATGTCCCTACTCGTAGGGACATTCGCGGTTTTTTTTACGCTGTAGGGACGTAGGGACGGTTTTTGAGTTTTCGAGGAGTTTGTAGGGACTTTGTGTGACAACCTTCGATTTTTTTTTTTTTTTTTTTTTTTTTGTGGGGCGGGGGAGGGAGGTGGGATGGCGAGTGGCGCGTGTGCTCGCTCGAGTTACGGTAGTCCAAATGTTGGCCTCGGCTGAAGCGTTCTTTGAGGGGCCCGGCTGGCGAAGTCGCCTGTCGTCTTGATTATTGTCTTGGTTTGAGCCTATCGTCTTTATTTTATCTGCCTCGTGCGATGTGTTGTTGAGCTCAGCTGGGCGAATACCTCTGGCATCAGATTGCGCCAACCAACGAATTGTGGAGCGAACCGTCCCTGAATAAAAGCGGATAAGTCATTTTTCTCGACATTTTATATCAATGTTGTCTTTTGTATGTTACATATGTCACTACCGCAAAAACTAAAAAAGCTGGCAAAAATAAATTCTCCGTCATCCACACTTGTAGAATGGTTTGGGAGCAAGTCGGGCCCTGCAAAGGCAGGGCCCAGATTAATGTACGGGCTAAGGGGTCTGCAGCCGAGGGCCCCAGGCTGCCAGGGGGCTCCGTGCTGACCCCGGAAATTAAAAAAAAAAAAAAAATGTAGGGCTGGGCATTGATTAGAAGGTTTCACTCGATTAATCGGCACCCTTTAATCGATTAATTAATCGGTCTCGTTTATTTTTATGCATAACATTACAAAATTTGAGATTAATATATTTTGTTTCCCTTCGCTGAATATGTGATAAAAGGCGCAATATACAACTTGGATTATGAATCGGTCTCGATATGTATACTAAAGAACAACTCAGACACTCCCACTCGCAGATTATTAGTTCAGCTGCATGCGGCAAAAGAGCTTATTTGATATTCTCCAGCAGGAGCAGCCTTCTTTGATCGTTCACAATAGTCTCTGCTGCGCTGAAAGGACACTCGAATAGCGTTGAAGTGGCAGGGACACCTGTAATTTTCTGTACTTGTCTGGAGCCAGAATTTTTGCCAGTACAGTTTACTTTAGGCTAAAATTTGACCTAAAGTTTGCCTTCATACAGGTTTACTCGCTTGTCCACGTATGCGTGGTGGAAGCGTTTAATTTTTACTTTATTTTGGTTCGTCCAAATTTTACTGATTAGGTTAAAAATTTTAGCCGCGATTAAAGCATTAATCGATTAATCTACAAAATCGATAATTGCCCAGCCCTAAAAAAAGGCAAGTTGGTTTTAGTTCAAAACAACTCAGACCTCTGAAAGCCGCTTTCAGTGTCGTCGTCTCCCCCTCCCCCCCCCCTCCCCGCTTTTCCCCAGTTCTTTTTTTTTTTTTTTGTATTGGTGAAAAGAGGGGTGCCATAAAATTCTCTTCCCTGTAGATGAGCTGGTGTTTGTGAGCCCATTGTAAAAGACTGTGCTAGAGCAACAAAATGTGTTGCCTCCCATCCTCCTTGTGGAAGGGAGCAAAGCTGTCGACGCTGGCGGTCCCGTTGAAGTATCTTCTAATTGAAGCCAGACGGAAGGACGGTCACGGAGTTCTCTATTGTACATGCTATGGTGCCCCTCGACGCGTTTTACGGACAATGGTGGGTTGGAAGGCAAGCGAGGGTTGCCGAAGGCTACACGAGCAACATACGCTACACATCATGTTTTGTTCATTTTTGGTCTTTTAGTGTACTTCTCTATGGAAAGTTTCCTCCGAAACGACAAGTTTCAAAACAAGCAAAAATAAATATCGGTGAACCTCCCGAAGCCATCCTTCCTAACCACTAACAGGCGTTTCAAGGGGCTGGCTCTTGAGATGTGCTCCAAAAGTTTTTGAGAAGCAGTGACTACAAGCAACTGCTCTGCAGCCTGTGTCTAATCTGCCAGTACGAGAAAACACTTTTCCTGCCATCGAGTGCTGCAACCTTTTACAAGCCTCTGAGGTATGTCTTATTTATCGTAGCTTGGAGTAATACGTCCAAATGGCTAAAAAAAGCTCTTAATTACTGCAATTAGAAGAAACAAGGCCACTTCCAAAACTAATTGAAACATTTTCGTAGGAGGGGAGTTTAAAAATATATCCTCGATCTTCATGAGAAATGCCTGTGAATATGTCTGAATGACAGTGGTTAATTGATAAATAATCACATTCAGTCTCAAATATTTATTTTATTTTTTTGAATGCAGATTTTTTTTTTAGTTTGGAACACAAGAGTTGCAGTTATTAGAAGAGGGTGAAGCGGTTTGAGCCCTAAATACTGAACCGAAATCTGGATTCCACAAAGCACGCGACAAAAGCGTGCAACCGGTGTGCTACAAACACCAAAACATCACTCACACAGCGATATCCCGAGCGGATCGCCATATTTAAAAAAAAAAAAAAGGAAGCGCATTTGATTGACAGGTATGTTCACGTCTTGTTTCTCCGAGAAGGAGAGGGAACGGCCTCGCGTCTTCTCCGCCTTGAGGGATCGAAGCGAAGAGAGGAGGAAACGAGATATCTTTATGTCACGCGCCTCGCCGGCCTGGTTCAATCTCGACCTCTTTTTCCAAAAATACGGCCGTCCGTTCGAGATATCGCCTTACGAGTAGTGTTGTAGGGATTGTAGCGTCCCGCCTACAGCTCCTGCATTGTTTTTTGTTCTTTTAATCCAAATTTCGGTTCACCATTTCTTTAATCACCAAGATTGCTTTGCATGTTTGTGTTGCTTTACTGGTCAGGTCAATAAGCAATTAAAGGCTAGTTAGACAACCTCCAATCACTGTAATATACACTCTAAAAAAAAAAGGCTGTAGCCCTTACCCCCTTTGTCTCATATAATACACCCCAAAACTTCAATGTACAGCGCACTGACGTCGATCTGACGGCACTAACTTTCACGAGAGGCTTGATAGCCGTGTGCTACGACTTACCAATGTGTGGTACTACAATACCAATGTACGTGCTACTGACTACAAAAAAAAAAAACGGTGTTTTTTCGGTCTGGCTGCAAAACCTCAGTGTTTTCTCTCTGTGATCTTTGACACATACTTTAGCTATTTCATAAGTTATATCGCAGCGTTATCAAGCCCCTCGTAAAAGTTGGGGCCGTTTGTTCGACTCTAATGCGCTGTACATCGAACTGAGGTTTTGGGGTGCATCATATGGGACAAAAGGGTGTAAGACGACACCTTTTTTTTTAGAGTGTAAACGTTCTATTTTCAGGACAGTTTTCTAGTTGCGACTCGCGAAGCATGTATTTAGGGGCAACAAAATTTTTCTTCTTTGTAATGGGAATTTTGCGGGTATTCTTTCGGTTACTGTCGAATGCAATTTGTGCCCATGGAGTTATGCCACTCGAAATGAAGGCGGTCATCTGTGCCATCTCTGTAGCATCATGATGAATTTATGCAAGGCGGCAGAGACACTTACTGCGTAAATAAGGTTGTAAACCTGGTAAAACAAGTCCATAGGAACACGCAGTCATCATTTTCAACTTTTCAACGGAGGTTTACGAGGCCCTCCTCAATGTGCGCGACACTTCTTAACATATCCCCCAATTGTTCATTGCTGTTGCGTTTTGTACCTCATAGTGGTTGATTGAGTATTTACAAAACAGCCTTTAATGCACAGTCGCATCTGCTTCATTTTCACCCAGTGAAACACCAATTTTCTGATCATCAAGTCTACCGATAAAAAAAAGCCTTCTAAGATGTATCATAAAATGAACGATATTTGTATATCATATAAGGTCGTGAAATATACATGATGCCGTCACTGTTGTTACCACCATCCACCATCTTTATCATAGTCGGTATTATCACCATTATTAGGGGCCTCGTAAGCAGCCAATTAGCCCAGGGTTCTAAATCCGGCCATGCGGAAAGGGGAACGTTAAACGTATGTCACATTGATTAGCAAGACGTTAAACTTTTCAAATATTTGTTCTTTCTAGATTTGTTCCTAACCATCTCTTGGGAAATATCTACCGGCATCAATTGCTCCACTGACTCCTCAACATGATGGATCCGGGTGAGGGTTCCTCGTCAACATCGAAGTCAAGAAAGCAAAGATTTCGTGATGCATGGATTGAGCAGCCGGAATTTCAGGGCTGGTTGGCTGCAGTCCCTGGGGATCCGTTCAGGGCGTTCTGCAAAGTTTGCAGCGCTAGTATGGTCGCTGGCAGTAGCGAGCTTAAAAAGCACGCTGAAAGGCAAGGCCACAAGAAAGCCATGTTAGGCCTCCAGAAACAACACCTCCTAACAGGGTTCATCCAGAAAAAGCCAAAAGACTCCATGGATGACAAGGTGAAGATGGCAGAGATCAAGCTTTCTGCGTTTATCACGGAACACTCCCTGTCATTCAAAGCGATGGACCACATGGGCGAGCTCGTGAAAACGGTGTTTCCTGATTCTAAAATCGCAGAACAGGTGAGACTTCACAAGACGAAATGCACATCAATTGTAAAAAATGTGCTAGCAAAGGCAGAAGTGCAGAGCCTTTCCGCCATACTAAGAGAAACGCGGTTTTCTCTTTTCGTCGATGAGGGCACGGATGTCTCGAGCACAAAGCTCCTCTGCTGCGTCGTACGTTATTATTGCGATGCTGTAGATGATGTCATCACGCAGCTGCTTGAAGTTATTCCCCTCGACGCCACGAGTTGCTCCGCAGAGTCCCTCGCAACTGCTGTTGAGCAGTGCTTAAACCACAAGGAGATTCCAATGAAAAACATTATCGCACTGGCTTGCGATAACGCTAGCGTGATGGTCGGCGAACACAACTCTTTGATGACCCGACTGCGCGCGAACGCGGACAGAAGCTTTGTGACCATCAGGTGCATCTGCCACTCTTTACACATCGCTGCCAGCAAAGCTGCAATGAAGCTACCGCGGAATCTTGAAGATCTGCTGAAGAATGTCGCGAGTTACTTCGGGCATAGTTGCAAGCGTCAAGCTCAGCTTGCTGATCTGCAGGAATACCTTAAAACAGAGAAGCATAGAATCCTAAGGCCCAGCGAAACGCGGTGGCTGGCACTGCAAAAATGCGTCGAGCGCGTCCTTCAGGAATGGGACACATTGAAGTTGCTTTTCTTGCAAGCGTCTGTAGAGGACAGAGTTGCAGCTGCAGGGCAGATCTTGGCCGAAATGAACCCAATTAATGAGGCGTATTTGAAGTTCATGGCCTACGTCTTGGGATTTTTCAACAAAATGAACGCTCTGTTTCAGAGCAAAGAGAACCTCATCGCTGTTATGCAGCAAGAAAGCCTGAGGCTCATTCGATGCCTCTGCCAAAATTTCATGCGACCGGAAGCAATTCAAGATGTCGAGAAGCTCAACCCCATGGATCCGCGTTCTCTTCTTCCGCTGGAGGAAGTATATCTCGGAGAGAGCTGCCAAGAGCTTCTTCAAAGCATGGAAGGGGGGAGCTCGGATATCAAGCACCTGAGGCTGCGGTGTCTGGAGTTCTACCAGACGGCTGTCTTCGAGGTGAAGAAAAGGCTCCCAGTTTCCGGACCATTCTACCACGAGGTACAATTCGTCCAACCCAGCACAGCATTGAGCTACGAAGATCGTAAACAGCTGCCCGTGCTGCCAGTCCTGCAAAGGCGCTACACACACTTGTTGCCACGCGCCGATGCTCTGCAAGGGGAATGGCGAATGCTGCCTTCTTTTTTCACTGAATCCGAGAAGGCACTTCTGCGAGAAAAGCCCGCCGCTTCATTCTGGGGCGAAATGTCCAAGCTAAAAAACTTCGAAGGCAAGCCCGAATTCGAAAACATCGCTTGCCTGGCAAAGTTGGTGCTAACACTGCCGCACTCCAATGCTGAAACGGAAAGAATATTTTCCCTACTGACAGACGTGAAGACGAGGAAAAGAAACCGCCTTGCTCCGGACAGCATCAACGCAGTGCTTGTCGTGAAATCTGGCATGACTGCAAGGTCAGAGACATGCACTAATTTCAAGGTGGAAAAGAAGCGCATGAAGTTGTTCACCAGCGAAATTTATAAGGCGTAACGCAAGCAGACCAACTCGTCATCAAAACTTTATTCTCCCATCTCATGAAACAACCTTTCAAATTTTATTGTAGACGGTGGCGACACTATTTCGCGTATCATTGTCCTCAGCTTTTCCAAAGGGTGCTATATTGTGTTACGACTGGCAAGCCATTTTAATCCTTTGTGTATGCGTGCATAAACTGTAAATATAATCATGTCCGTCATGTACTTTTTTATTGGTGTTTCCCGACATTTCGTTTTTCCCTTTTACTGGTTATATACTCGTCAATCTGTGCTTTGTTGTTATACAGTGTTATGCTCTTCGCCTTCCTGAACTGTCTATAAGGGCGAAATAATTAAATAGTTAAAGAAGCATGTTTGTTAACGAAGGGACCTTATAACGTGACTGTTCTTAAAAATGCTATTCAAGTTTTAGTGACTGTGGTATGTTATGCAATAAACACAAAATTCTTTGTTATACTGAATACCTGGATTGACTTCTATTTTTTTTTTGTCCTTTTACATACTCTAAACGACTTAATTTTCGCGAAGACCTAATTTTCGCGAACCGCTTACAATTCGCAAAAAATAAATCGGGCGAACGATTCCGGTAAAATGTAAACAAAATGAAATCTATATTGAGATCCCACCGCGTCGCAAAAATTAGAACCCGCGAATTATTCCAAAACTCCAGCTTTGACCTAAATACAAAATTCAATCGCGTGTTTGTAAAAAAAAAAAAAAAAAAAAAAAAAAAAAAAAAGAAAAGGGAAAAGCTAACTAATCATTTGCAACGCGCTCACGGAGAGGTGCAGAAGGCAGGCTCGCTCAAATAAGCAAAATAAATAAAATACGGCTTTTTTTTCACCTGTAGGGACAACCATAGGGACATTTGCACACTCGGGTAGGGACACAGAGGGACTTTTTGGCCTGCACGTGGGGACTTTCGGGTTCGGCAATCTGACAACACTGGAATAAACGCAGTTGAGCGCACGCCGCTCCGGTCAGTCATCGTTCGACCTCACAACCAGGCTGCGTGTCGTCTCTTCTCGGCGTGTGCTTCGGCCCCCTTCGTCCATCTTCTACTGGGTGAAACAAGGAGACGGTAGGCTCTTTAAATCGACCGGAAAATTCGGTTTCTTAACCTATCGCGCTACGACTTTGTGCAGCGTTGCCCACAGATGGTGCATTTTTTTTGTAAAATTTGCAAAGAGCGAACTTACCTGAGAAAAAAGTAAAGAAAGAAAAAGGCTTAGCTCCTATGGAAACTCAGCGACGCCACCGGTCTTCAAACAACACGGCGCCGTTTCGCACGGGACACAAGAGATGGCGCAACGAACGCCGCCAACGAACGAGCATACGGCCACACGGCGCCGAGAGCCAGCGTCTTTAGCAGACAATCTTTTCGACTCAAAAGCGACGCGCGTTCCGCAGGCGGCGACAGTCGCAGAAACAAAAACAGGCGCAGTAACAACGAGGAACTGCAGTTCCTTGTCTGCTAAATACGCCGGCTCTCGGCGCCGTATGCTCGTTCGTTGGCGGCGTTCGTTGCGCCATCTCTTGTGTCCCGTGCGAAACGGCGCCGTGTTGTTTGAAGACCGGTGGCGTCGCTGAGTTTCCATAGGAGCTAAGCCTTTTTCTTTCGTTACTTTTTCCTCAGGTAAGTTCGCTCTTTGCAAATTTTACAAAAAAAAATGCACCATCTGTGGGCAACGCTGCACAAAGTCTTAGCGCGATAGGTTAAGAAACCGAATTTTCCGGTCGATTTAAAGAGCCTACCGTCTACTTGTTTCACCCTGTAGAAGGATCGTGGCACTGGAGGCCACCAACGTGCACAGTTCGGCCCACGCCGCAGAGAGAGTCGCAACACCGCCCCCCGCTCCTGTCGCCATGCCGCTGTACGGGAGGCTCGAGCCGTTCGAGGGAGATGGGTCCGCCTGGCCTGTCTACGAAGAACAAGTCCTCGTGTTCTTCCGGGCGAACGACACGCCCGAGGCGAAGCAACGGGACATCTTCTTGGCCAGCTGCGGGACCCGCGTCTTCAGCCTCCTGCTTGACCTCCTCAAGCCGGCCACGCCACACGTCAAAACGCTGGGTGAGCTGCTCGCCACGCTGCGCTCGCACTTCAGCCCGGCGCCATCCACGCTTATGGAGCGGTTCCGCTTCAACAACCGGAGCCGCTGGGACGGGGAGACCCTCGGGCAGTTTGTCGCTGCGCTACGAGTAGGGTGACCACCTTCCTGCTAGCGAAATGCGGGACACGGGGGGGGGGGGGGGGGGGGGGGGGGGTTAGAGGAAATTTATTAACGCACACACCAGGAACCGAGGCTTTGTTAATACATTTAACATTGTGTGCTGTTTATCCACCTGCTAATTGTATTGCAGCAATTAAGCTCAATTAATTTGACTAAAAGTAATATAGCTCTTATGGTAAATGTGTTATTAAATGTGTCGAAGTTGAAAACATAAATATCGACTGTAGCAGAACTCAGTGCATTAGATGAAAATAAGAAATATTACATCTCTTTCGGGTTATTGTTTCCTGTCAACGCTTACTTTTATCAACATAGTCAAACACAAAGTTCTAACATTATGTGCTTTTTCGACCGTTCCGAGTTGCAGGCTCTGCCTTTTTTGACTGTGTTCACTAAAACAAAGATCCACAGCAACCCTTTTGCTTTGGCAGAGCGATTTGAAAAATAATTACAATATTTTATATTGAAACTTTTGGAGGGCAATCGTTCTTAGAATAATTTGCCCCCAAGGGGAGAGGCACAACGGAGCATGCGCGTCGGTTCTCCTTCAAGAACGACGGTCGCTTCCCGGAATGCTTGGATAGAAAATGGTGCACTATTGCGATTCACACGATTTCCAACGACCTCCGGGCTTCCCCGTGCCCCATTGTTCGGCAGCGCCATAAGTTGCAGAGTGAATTTTACAACAGTATGAAATGCGGGACATTTTGAAGATTTGGGAATCCGCTTGCGGGACGCGGGACACAAGCCCTCAATGCGGGACAGTCCCGCGAGTCGCGGGACGGGTGTTCACCCTAGCTACGAGGGTTAGCGAGCACCTGCGCCATCGGCGACCAGTTGGACTCGCTACTCCGGGACCGGTTCGTCTGCGGCATCAACAACCCCGCCATGCAGATGCGACTCCTGGAGCTCCCCGACCCCTCGCTGGACGACGCGGTGAAGGCAGCGCAGGCGATGGAAGCAGCAGCTAAGGACGCCAGCGAGATAGCGCGTGCGGCCGGCTCCCCGTCGACGGAAGCGGCGGTGAACAAGATGGCGGCAAGGAGCGGTGCCTGCAGCCGCTGCGGTGCTGCCCACTCCCCCTCACAATGCCAGTTCGTTCAAGCACAATGCTTTACGTGCGGGAGAACTGGGCACCTCGCATGTGTCTGCCGAGGGGGGAGGACGAGCGGCGGCCAGCAGCAGCAGCCTGGTTCAAGCTCGGGTTCCAGCCAAGCCCGCGGCCAGGGTGGTCGTCGCAAGAGAACATGGTGGGGACGAGCGGCACCAGGCCCGGGTCCGTCTTCAGCCAGGGTCCACGTCGTGGCCGAGGAACCACAGATTTTCGACGTGTGGCACACCAATAGAATTTCGTCGTCTGTGCCACCTTACTTGGTGTCTGTTGAAATCTGCGGCCACCCCATCACCATGGAGCTGGACACAGGGGCCAACGTGTCGGTCATGCCCGGGAAGCTGTTCAAGCGGACTGTTAGCGCGTCAGGAAACACAACGCTTTGTAACTCGGGTTCTTTATAGGAGATGAGAAACGTGAATACATTGTTAGGGTACAGGTCACAGACGTCCGACCCTAGTCGGCGTGATGGCGTCGCGGCGGACGACCGTTGTTCCTTTGCCGGAAGAAGGCTGGCGGCTCTGGCCAGGGTTGCCGCTTCCGGCCGCAACACTTCCCCCACACTTAGTGGAATGGTGGAACTACAAGTCAAGCCGCACGGGTGGTCGGCGTTGTCGCAGTGGACGCTGCTCCTTGCTTGGCTCCAGGGTGGTCCTTGACGTCTCTGGAGCCGCTGAGGATTGGCCCCATTCTAACATTAAATCCTCATTCCGCTCACTGGGTTGATGCAGAGGGTCAGGTGTGTTGACCTCGTGCCTCAGGCGTAGCTGGTCATGATGTCTGCGGATCATCCCACCAGGTGTCTGCACCAGCGCCATGCGGTTTCCCAGTTCTTCCATGATGGTTCCACTCAGCCAGCGAGGTCCCTTACCAAAGTTCCTTGCAAAAACAGCCTGACCTCGGCTCCATGTAGGCGACTGGTTGGCTGGCCCTGCCGGCTTGTGACTCTCTGCCCGGGCTGTCAGTAAGTCCAGACGAACTTTCGGCTAATAGGCCAAAAGCATTTCTGCTGGAGACTTAGGACGACCACCCGATGGCATTCTGCGGTGCATGTGGAGCCATCTCGCCAAGCGGGTTGTGAGGGACCCACCAGACACCCTCTTTAGTCCTTCCTTCACCGAGCGCACGGCCCTTTCTGCCAGGCCGTTAGACTGGGGTTGGAACGGTGCGGTACGTATGTGACGTCTTCCATTTTTCTTGACGAAGTCCTGGAATTCGGCTCCTGTGAATGAAGTGCCATTGTCCGACACCAAACATGAGGGCTGGCCAAATCGAGCAAAGGTGGTTCTGAGCAATTCCACTGTCGTTGCCAATGTCGCTGTTGTCGTTGGCAATGCCTCTATCCAGCCAGAAAAACTGTCGACCACCACCAGGATCATCTTCCCCTCTACTGGTCTGGCATAATCCACGTGAACTCTTGTCCACGGCTGTTTAGCCCCTCAGGGGGCACCTGTGGAAGCAGGTGTTTGGAGAGTGGCGTCTCCACGTACCCCAAGCCCCGCAGGGGGCGCCTGCACCTTAGGTGCTAGGTGCTTGGTGAGTAGCGTCACCACGGACCCCAGCCACGTGGGCCACCATACCCGCACGCAGGGGGCACCTACTTTAGTAGGTGCTTGGTGAGTGGCGTCACTACGAACCCCGAGCCATGTGGGT